TGTCATTCCAGGTGTATTAAACCATGTGATTGTCTGATTCCATTTCAGCTCACTAATGCCTGGAATATAGATCTCTATGCACTACATTTCATTTGCATGACTGCCAGTTTTACTAGAGTCATTCTTTGTACAGTCTAAATTCCAATTATTAATGGATGTTTTGAGTTGTTTCCTCTCATTTTAGTTGTGTGAGTTTAACAAATGAAAACCTGAAAAGCTTTTCTCCGTTTCTGTTATTAAGGTTGACTCTATTTTAATGTGACAGCTCCCATCCAGTTGTGTTTTGAGTGTTTTTCAACCGAGGGGCTCATCTTCTAACACAATATTGAACAATGTTCCATTGCTACTCATAAGATATTCAGTGGCTAATTTTTCAGAAGTCATCTGCCTCTTACATTTATCTAGTCTCTTGTCTGGAAGTTCTAGTGAAATCTGTCCACCATAAGTGACCCTGCTAGCATGTTGCTGTGACTATCCTGTTCTCCAGTTATTATTCCATTACTGTATACTACACACACTTGTCTAATCAGTAATTTTGATTACCTCCTCTTAACCACTCTTTCAAATGAGTTATTTTTTACTACAACTACGGAGATGAGGAAGTTAAGGAGAAAGATGTTTTTAATATCATACCTAAGATCAGTTTGTAATATCAAGTTCACTTTTAATTTCTGGAATGCACTCTTAAAACTAACTTCTTCAAATTGATAATTGTTGTTGTTGTTATCAGGCGCCATTGAGTTGGAACCGACTCATAGTGACCCCATGCACAGCAGAATGAAACAGTGTCCGATCCTAGGCCAACCTCACTACCTCTGCCACACTTGAGTCCATCAATGACGCCACCTGGCCAATCCATCTCATTGGAGGTCTTCCTCTTTTTCTCTGACCCTCCTTCTTATCAAGCATGATATCCTTCTCCAGTGACTGCTCCCTCCTGAAAATATGTCCAAAGTATGAGAGACAAAGTTTAGACATCTTGGCCTCCAAGGAGCACTCTGGCTGCACTTCTTCCAAAATTGGTTCTTTTGGCAGTCCACGGCACTTTTAGTATTCTCCTCCAACACCACAATTCAAAGGCATCAATTCTTCTATGATCTTCCTTATTCACTGTCCAGCTTTCGCATGCATATGAGGTTATTGAAAATACCATGGCTTGGGTCAGGTGCACCTTAGTCCTCAAGCTGACATCTTTGCTCTTCATCAAACTGATAATAAGGATTATTATTTGAAGAGAAACAACCTTGACATTGTAATGCTTATATTTAGTTATTACATTGGCCTTGGAGGACTATTAATCTCAATTTGATGATAAGGATTCTAAGGCACAAAGAGTTTCACTGAGTTGTCAAAGGAGTCCGGTTTCTAAGCCAAGATCTGGTTGGAAATTTGTTATCAAATCTCGCACTCTATTATCTGTAGTCCCATATAAAAGATAAGTACTTTCTAATAGACTTCAGAAACTGGTAACATATTTTCTTCCAATTTTTTCTCCACTCATAACATTAATTAACTAGTATCACTCATTCTTAATACTGGTATTCAAAGAGGAAAAAGAAAATGCTACCTCTGGGGAGAGTTTACCATGACACACAAAAAAGGAAAAATTACCTTAAATACAACAAAGTTTTGTCTAGGTCTGCAGAAATGTATACTCAATCTAATCTAGGGTAGATGGAACAATAAAGTCTCATTGTAGTTAACCATAACCAGAAAATCAGGATACTACTTTTATAATCTTTAAATGGGACTCCTAGTGTAGTACTATAGGATCAGCACTAGACGACAAATCACAGAGTTGGCAGTTCAAACCTACCAGCTGCTCCTTGGAAATCCTGTTCATGGTCGCTATGAGTCAGTACCAACTCAATGTCACTTAATAACAACAACAACAATATCTTCCCATGAACTGTAATGGCCTCATCTTCTGTCAAGTGCATTCCACTCTTTGTTATCAAAGTTTCTTATCAGGAAAGTTTGTCGGTGATTTAACTCAGTGGTTAATAAAAATGACAGAGTATATTAACCTATTCATTTGGCAGGTTTCCAAAGAGTCCTAAACTGCTTCCTCAGAAATTATGCCAATAGCTCTAAAGGATATATTCATTTTCATATCTTAGAACACAGAGGGATCCCACAGCCAAGAATACATAACACAATCAAGTCTTAACCAGACTGTTACAAATGAAAGGTGAAAGCTCTCTTGGTGAAGACATGAATCTGCTATTCTGTTGTTGTTATTAAGTGCTGTCAAGGAGGTTTTCACTTATATTAACCCTGCATTGGGTTTCTAAGGAGTGACAGATGAGTTTAAACTGCCAACCTGGCAGTTAGCATCCCAGTGCTTATCCTACAGCACCAAATCATTGAAAAGTAAGATAAAACTTAATGTGTTCAAAATGAATTAGTGAATTAATGATCCTAGAGCTCCAGGAGAGACAAAGAAATGGGAAATTTGATGCTATCACCTTAATTCTCACTTGTATGTCCTTCTCCAAGATACCACATTTACAACCACCTTTTGTTCTTGAGCATGCTTTGTAATGTTCCAATTTTTAACACTTCACAAATAATTTTACTCCCTTGATAAACTGTAAAATTTACCAGTCTGAATTCAATAAAGACAAGATTTTTTTAAATTATGATAATTTAATACAAGAAATTGGTAAAATGGTTACACAAGGACTGAAAGGCAAAAAGAAACATTGTAGCAATACAGAGATAGTAACAATAGAAAGAAGTTCCTACACAAAGATGTAAGGAACAGGTATAAGAAAAATGTCGAGATTAATACTATATGACCTTTATTGATCATTAGTGGAAGAACGTAACAATAAAGGCAGGTGGGAAAATGTTTTAAAATGTTCCCCTCTGTGGCACAGCATCACAAAGTAAAGAAAAGATGGGTGAGTTTGGTGGTGTAGGGATGCAATCGCTTATCAGGAAGCACATAGGACCAACATTAAGATGTGCAGTGCAGGCAGTGGTGAGCCAGTGATTGAATTCTCCCTTCCATTTGAAAAACCAGGTTTAATTCCCAACCAAGGTACCTCAAGTGTAGCCACTGCCTCTCAGTAGAGATTTATATGCTGCTACAATGTTAAACATCAGTTGAGATGCCAGATTAAGATACACTAACAAGAAAGTCCTGGAATGTTACTTGTAGAAATCATCCAATGAAAACACTTTGAAACACAAATGTCTGAGGCCTGATCCACAATCAATCCTACAGATGGTGCAACATGGGCAGTATTTCCATCTGTTGAGCATCAGAGTCACATGTGTCAGGGAGCCAAATTAAGAGCAGCTAATAGTATGGTGCTGTGGGCTAATTCGCTGGACTGCAAAGTCGGTTTGAACCACAAGGTCAGCAGTTCAAGCTCACCAGTTGCTCCTTGGACCCCCTACACAAGGTCACTATGGGTCAGAAATGACTTGATGACACTTGACAACAACAATACAATGATAAGGGACAAGATATGAAAGGAGACAGCATCAGGAACACTGGAGAAAAAAAATCACTTATTGGTTGTTATAAGGTAAATTCTTTCGTATCTTTTACCTGTGAGTTCTGGTCTTTGAGATCTTCAGCATCTGCCCAGCTGGAAGAATAGACCCACACCAAAGTAGTTTTCAATGAAGGGAAAATAAAAAATGATGAATGACTTTCACCCTGGCCTACATGAAAACCAACTGTGATACTTACTTTAAATGTTTACTCAGACCACATGCTAGGAAAATGAAATCAAAATCTGCAGTGACAGAACCAAGTAATTAATTTTTAATCTTCCCAGATGATTCCAGTATGAAATTAAGGTCGGTGGTGGTTGGTGGTTATGTGCCGTGGAGTCAGTTCCGACTCATAGCGACCCTGTACAGGGTTTCTGAGGCTGTAAATCTTTATGGGAGCAAAAAGCCTCATCTTTCTCCCACGGAACAGCTGGTAGTTTCGAACTGCTGACCTTGCAGTTCGTAGCCCGATTCATAACCACTACGCTACCAGAGCTCCTTGAAATTGAGGTTAGGGAACAGTGAATTTTATTCACCCATAACCTGCATATACAGTTCTGTTAGATGTAAAACTAGAAAATAAATAAAAATAATGGGATCTTGTCTAGATGGGTCTGGGACAAAGAGATGGGGATAAGATTCTTATGATTCAATAGTCAGTGATGACTATCATGACTATTTGTGACTGTCACAACTGTAAAGGTAGAAATTTTGTAACAAAAAGGGAGGCGTAGTTAATCTTACAGTCTAGAAACAGAGGACCCTGGGACCATCAAGGGATAAGAGCACTAGCGGAGAGTGGGATCCTATCCAGAGAAGCAATGACACCAGAGATGGAGTCAGAGATGAGGACATGGAGAGAGACAGCAAGCAGCTGAGGACTCTAGACTCATGGAAAGAGAAAGATTGGGTGCTGGTGGCCATGAGGCAGGCTTGCAGAATATGCCCTTTGATTGTTTAAATTATTATATATTCCTGAGTGTTTCTGTGTATACCAACCCCTCGGGGGGGAGGGGGGAGGAAATCCAGATAAGAAGCAAATACTGTTGAGTGAAGATGCAGGGAGGACATAGTAATCATTGCATGAAATGATGAATGTAAAACCAATGTTCTCCCATGTAAACTATCACTCAATTCACAATTAAAACTTTAAAAAATAATAATAGTGGGAAAGGATGAAGATACTCAGTTCATAAAAGCAAACTTGTGTATTTCACATGAAAGCCTGGGTCACAGATGAGAAATTACAGAAGACACCATAGCTGTAATGGGATTTGATCCTGCAGATTGACTTATCCCAGAATACTTCCACTACCCCATTAGCATTTTGACAAAGAAAGAATTGTTCAGATATGAAAACGTGAGGTTGAAACCTATTATAAGAGCTATACAAATTATGTAATCAAAGAGGCAAGATTTCTGATTACAGATGTCAGATTTTAACATTATTTTCAACCCACACACACAAAAATATGACACAAATGCTGACATTAGATTGCTCTGCTGAGGAGCCTCTGCAGAGCTCTCTTAATGTCCCTGTTTCTCAGACTGTAGATGAAGGGGTTCAGCATGGGGCTCACTACAGTGTACATTACTGAGGCTACTGTACCCTTTCTGGCAGAAGATGAGACAACTAAACTGAGATACACTCCAATACCTGTTCCATAAAATAAGCAAACAACTGACAGGTGAGAACCACAGGTAGTAAAGGCTTTATACCTCCCATTTGAAGATGAGACTCTCAGAATGGAGGAAATGATTCGAGTATAAGAGTAAAGGATCCCGGAGACTGGAACACCACCAAGGACAGCACCAATACAGTATACTAATACGGTACTGGTAGAGGTGTCAGAACAGGCAAAGCTAAAGAGTTGCAGCAGATCACAGAAAAAATTAGCAATTTCTATGCCTTTGCAAAAGGTAAGTTGAGATATCATAAAACAGTGCAACTGGGAGTTCAAAAGACTGATGAGAAAGCATGCCAAAATGAGCAAGCCACAGAGGCGGGGACTCATGATGACCGTGTAGTGTAGGGGGTGACAAATGGCCACAAACCTGTCAAAAGCCATCACAGTGAAGAACAAACTGTCCAGAAATCTGAAAAGATAAAAAAGGGACACTTGTGTCAGGCAGCCTACATAAGTGATGGATTTCTTATGTGTCTGGATGTTCACCAGCATCTTTGGGACTGTGGTGGAGATGAAACCGGTGTCAGCCAAGGACAGGTTGGAGAGGAAGAAGTACATGGGTGTGTGGAGGTGGTGGTCAGAGCTGACAGCCAGGATGATGAACAGGTTCCCAGTCACAGTGATCAGGTACATGGACAGGAACAACCCAAATAGAAGGGACTGCAGTTTTAGATCCTCAGAAAAACCAAGGAGGAGGAATTCTGAGATGCCTGTTAGATTCTGTGGTTCCATGTACCTGTAACAGCATTTGGAAAAAGAAGAGGATTGTTAACAGGAAACCAGTGATGATGACAAGCACCCAGGACAGTGTCTGCATTTTTTAATTCAATAAATTTACAAGTAAAGCATGCAAATTCCTAATAGTTCACATCTGAGGACATTATATACCCTCAGCAATTATACTAAGTTGTAGCAAACAACACTGTTAATTCTCAGAATTCTCTTCTCATGGTTTATTTGTGTGGTATTCACCTGTTTCTGTGCATACCCATTTTAGAGACACTGAGATAAAGAATGCTAGAGTGGCAAAGACATTTCAAGATAGCAAATCCACAAAAGGAACAAAATTTCAGCCCTCTAAACAGAGTCAGAATTGACACCAAGGTACTTAACAACAACAACAACACTATGAGGGAAGTGTACGCAATAAGAAATATACTTTAAAAAAAAAAATTCTTGCAATTACAGGACACTAAGGAGCTCTGGTGGCGTAGTGGTTACAACTCGGGCTGCTAACCTCAGGGTCAGCAGTTTGAAAATATCAGCTGTTCCATGGGAGAAAGATGAGGCTTTTTGCTCCTGTAAATATTACAGCCTCAGAAACCCTGTACAGGATCGCTATGAATCAGAACTGACTCCACGGCACATAACAACAACAACAATGAGCGCTTTGACTCCATACAATAAGCACTGGACTGTGAACCACAGGTCCAGGGTTCTAGCCCACCAGCCACTCTGTGAGAGAAACATGAGGCTTTCTGTCCCTGAAATGATTTTAAGCATAAGAATCGTTGTATCTGGTTGCTATGAATGGGAACCAATTTAACAACATAAAAAAAGGACTTGCAGAGTGACTGTGGGTAAACAGTTAACATACGTGATGCTAACCATAAGGTTGATATTCAGGAGAAAGCCTGGTAATCTACTTTGGAATCCTCAGTCATGGTACACTTCAAGGAGCACAGATGGATTGCATTTGGAAATTTGCTGCAAAAGTGTTAAGTATCAAAAATATCAGTTTGAGAAATAAGGTATGTCTGACCCAAGCCAAGGTGTTTTCAAGGCTTCATATACATTTGAAAGCTGGGCAATGAATCAACAGAAGAATACATGCATTTGAATCATGGTGTTGCAAAACAATATTAAAAGTACCATTGACTGTGAAAAAAAAAAAAAAACAAATCTGTCTAGAAAGAAGTGCAGTCACAATGTTCCTTAGAAGCCAGGATGGAGAGACTTCACCTCTCATACTTTGGACATGTTATCAGGAGGGACCAGTCCCTGGAGATGGACATCATGTTTGGTAAAATGGAGGATCCTTGTAAGGGAGGAAGCTCCCCGCTCTCACCCCAGTGAAATGAATTGTCACAGTAGCAGCAACAATGGGCTTAAATGTGAAGGTGCAAGAGTCCACAGTGTTTGGCTCTGGTGAGCATAGAACAACATAGAATAACATAGAGCAACATAGAATAACATAGAATAACATAGAACAACATAAACTAACATAAAGCAACATAGAATGACATAGAATAACATAGAGCAACATAGAACAACATAGAGCAACATAGAATAACGTAGAGCAACATAGAATAACATCGAGCAACATAGAATAACATAGAGCAACATAGAATAACATAGAACAACATAGAACAACATAGAACAACATAGAATAACATAGAGCAACATAGAACAACATAGAACAACATAGAACAACATAGAACAACATAGAATAACATAGAGCAACATAGAATAACATAGAGCAACATAGAACGGCAACTAACAACAATAACAGCAGGTTTATTGTGGTGAGAAGGAAAAATTCAAGATCTATCCTGAAGTACAATGTTGTCAGAGATAGCATAACATCCATAATTCTATAAGGAAGACCTAATAACACTGGTGGTTCTATAGAATAAGCACTGGACTGCTAACCACAAGGTTAACAATTCAAACCCACCAGCTGCTCTGCAGGAAACAGATGAGGTTTTCTGCTCTAATAAAGATGGCAGCCTAGGAAACCCAATATAGAGTCACTATGAGTCAGAACCAGCTCAACAGTATCTAACAACAACAACAAAAAAGACATGTTAATAGGAGTACTATCCATATATAAATCCAAACATGAAAAAACTGAAAAATTCTACAAACTTCTGCAGCCTGAAATTAAAGTTCAAAGTTAAAATTGAAAATATTAAAAAGACACCCCCAAAATCAAAACTCATTGCCATCAACTTCTATTAATGGTGACCCCATAAGACATAGATGGACTGCCCCATAGTGTTTCTGACACTTCAAATCTTTTCCAGAATGGACAGCCTCATCTTTCTCCCTTGGAGCAGCTTGTGGTTAGCAGTCCAACATTTAACCTACTATGTCATTAGGGCGCCTTAACAAGTCCATGAGGGAAGTGGGGGAAAGGCAGTAATGAAGACATGGGCTGAGTTCCAATCTGTAAGAGAAACATAAGGTCCCCTTCTATATCCTCCTTCTCATTGTTAAAAGGTAGACAGCTTTCCACTGTGGTCTAGCAAAATTCCTGGTCTAGCAGGATGGGTAGCAGGGTAAAATATGGTCAAGTGCCCTGTGCCTAGAGTCACAGTTCTTCATTTAAACCAGGCTTCAATTTTCTCCTGGCTCATGACCTGTTACAAGTTATAAAAACAGACAGTGCTTATTTTCTCTTTTGTAGAATGCCAATAATGTGTGTTACTGTTTTATGGTTGGTGTTATTCCAAAAAAGAAAGAAAAGTTGCATAGAAAACTTAGCTCTGATCCTAGCCCCTGGGTAACCTCCAATAAATGTTCAGGATACTGTGCTTACTGTCATCATTCTCATCACTTTCATCATCATCATTTACAAGATCATTTGGAAGTATTTAGGGGACAGATGGGAGGGACTTATACCATGCTGTAGTAGAGAAGTCTCTATAGGAGCTAAAACCAATGTAGAAGAAATTTAAAATCTGAATAAGCTTTCTTGGGCCCCTATCAGAACCAAAAGAGAAACTTCACAGCCCTCTGAGATGAAACTTAGCATTTCAGAAGTGACCATCTGACCTTCTCAAATGTACTGCTTGTAATGATGAGGAGCAAACAAAGCTCCCAATCCCTTTATACACTCTCCCCTACAGAACTCACTGGATTGTGGTGGGTCTTTGCTGGGGTATGACCAAGGAGGACAGGTCCACCATTCCTCTCCTGCCTGTAGATGATAAGGGCTAAGGCACCTTCCTCAGTACTGGCAAGAAGAGAAATTCAGGCATGAGCTTGGGCATGAGCATGGTTTATAATCACTCTAGTGGAAAGACCTGGCTATGGAGCTCCCTGGAATGTGACAGGACAACTGAAAACCTGGAGGACACAGGCAAGTTATTTGCAGTCACTTTGAGTGCTAAATGCCCAGAGGTCACAATTAGTCAAATTGGTTCCAAGTCATTCCAATCTCTGAAGGCCTGTTAATATTAAGGAAACTGGAAGAGGAGAAAGTGAATGTCCTTGGTAACTGGGTCCACATATTTTAAGGAGAAAGCAAACATGTATTCCTCACTCCTAACTTCTGAACTGTGTGGATCTTGACATAAAAATAAGACACTTTTTTTAAATATGCAAAATCAACATGTAATTTAACATCCTCAAACCAATTGAATGAATCACGTTATTTAGGGAGGATTAAGCATTCTATGGAGTCCTGGTGTGGCGCTCTAGGATAAACACTAGACCTCAAAGTTGGTTTAAGCTTCAAGGTGGTGGTTCAAATCTACCAGTCACTCCTAAAAACACTATACAGGGTTACTATGAGTCAGAAGCAACTCAACAGCACTTAACAACAACAAGCATTCTATAGGAGTTCTGGTGTGGTCCTATGGTTCAAACAGACCAGCTGCTTCTTAGAATCTCTGTTCAGGTACACTATGAGTTAGAATTGACTCAATAGCACTTAACAACAATAACAATCATGCTATAGGAGTCCTGGTATCACCTTGGTTAAATGCTCAGCTGATAACTGAAAGGTTAGTGATACAAACACAACAGCTGCTCCATGGGAGAAAGATATGGCAGTAGGCTACCTTAAAGATTTACAGTCTTGGAAACTTAATGGGGTTATGTTTTCTGTAAAGAGACTTTATGATTGTTTTTGTTGTTAAGTACCATGGAGTTGGTTCTGACTCACAATGACCCTGCACCGGGTTTTCAAGGCTGCAGATCTTTATGGGAGCAGAAAGCCTCATCCTTCTCCCACAGAACAGCCGGTAGTTTTGAACTGCTGACCTTGAGGTTAGCAGCCCAATTCGTAACCACTACGCTACCAGAGCTGGTTTAATGCTTTAGAAATAAATGAAAAGTAGGCATTTGTAACCCACTCAGTCTCTCCTCATGAAAAAGACCTGACAATTTGCTCCCATAAAGATTGTTGCTGTTGCTGTCATTGTTAGGCAACTTTAAGTTGATTCCGATTCATAGTGACCATATACACAACAGAAGAAAACACTGCCCAGTCATGCACAGTCCTCATAATTGTTGTTAAGCTTCTGTGAGTTTCAAAGAAGTCTCCATTTGAAATTTTGAACAGAGCTGCAGTCATCTCAAGGCTGGACTGGAATAGAATCATATTCAACCTTACTCAGGTAAGAATTGGCAGGATTCTGTTCCTCCAAGGCTATTTGCCAAAGGCATGTGTCTTCTTCTTGCCACATGGGCCACCCCATCATATAGCCAGCAACATGGAAGCTGGCATTCATCAGAATATTCTGTATTCTGCCAAGAAGGCAGAAGAGGACTGACAAGATGAAAGCCATATCCTTTTTACAAACTGATGTTTGACATGATTTCTAAAACCAATATTTAGCAAATTTATGGATTTCCAGAAGAATGAACAAATCTGTCTTGAAAAAACTACAAGAATTCTCCTTACAAACAAGGATGGTGAGACTTTATATCATATACTTTGGACATGTTATAAGAAGGAACCAATCCCTGGAAAAGGACATCACATTTTGTAGAGTAGAGACTCA